CGATAATCCGTTCCGGTAAAATCGCTGTTAAGTGAAATTGTCGTCATGCAAAAAGCCTTTCCCCATTGGAAACCATTGAAACTCAGTTTAATGCCTTCCAATGAGGAAATTACCTTGTCGTCCAGCAAAGATCGCCCATAGGGAAGCCATTTTGTGAGCACCGATCAGCTGTTAAAATGGCTGCCCTGCGAAGTATGGGTGTGGAAAACACAGGCCATATATACATTACTAAAATAGCAATGTCTACATTGGCTTGGGCATGTTGGCTGATGGTCAGATTCCAAAAGATCTCCTGTATGGAGAATTAGTGCAGGGAAATCACCCCAGAGGGAGACCACAGTTGCGATACAAAGACATCTGCAAGGATATCTGCAAGTGGGATCTGAAGGCCTTAAGAATGGACCTAAACAGATGGAAACTTTGGGTCTCTGAGGCTACATTCCTAGCTATCTAAACAAGTGAGCTACCACCAGTGAAAGCAGATGTTGAATAAAACATGTCAATTGTTAAGGAGCCATGAGGTTCTTTAGTATATTCTCAATAACTGATGGTAAATAAATTATTATTATTATCCCAAAACACCAGGCAGAGATTCTCACTCTCGAATTGGCCTTCTCAACCATACTAGACGCTGTTCCAAGTCTTCTATTCAGAGCATGTTACCATATTTTCTCGAGATGAAAAGATGTCTAATCTAATCTAATCTAATCTAATCTCTACCTGATGTTACCTTGAGTTTTTGGAGGCTGATGAGTTATATTTTTTGCACAGTGACCAATTGATCTTATCAGTTGCAAAACTATTGTTATAATAATAACCTGGAACTGCAGAGCTGGAAGGCATCCTATGGATCAGTGGTTCTTAACCTTGGGTTACTCAGGTGTTTTTGAACTGCAACTCCCAGAAACCCCAGACAGCACAGCAGGTGGTGAAGGCTTCTGGGAGTTGCAGTCCAAAAACACCTGAGTAACCCAAGGTTAAGAACCACTGCTATGGATGATCAAATCCAGCCATATCAAGAAAGCATGGTGTGGAATTGAACTCCCAGCCTCTGGCTCCACAGCCAGATATCTAAATCACTGAGTTATTCAGTGTAAGATGCCTGTGCCAAAGAGCAGCAAATCTCATTGCTAAAAGTATAGTACAGCAGGTTCTCTTTACACTGTCTCACAAAGTTGGTATAAAGCAGGCCAAATCCCAGTGCAGAGCCCCCATCTCAGTGGTTGAGAAGCACTGGCTTAGATGACAGCTGACATTAGGGCTGATAAAAGGGATGATTGAAAACATTGTCAGCAGACATTTCTCTGGCTGCCTTCTCAGATGAAATTCCAAGCCTGTCATCTCCTAGCCTCAGTCAATAGCAATTGCTCCCATGACAGACCCTTCTTTCTGATGTCATGCAATCATCCTAATGAAAGAATGTGGCTGTCAATGGAAGATAACATTTTAACTACCAGCTGGATAGGTAAGACAAGGCCAACAGGGAAGGGCTTTTAGTTTTGCGGCAGTTCTGAGATCCACCAGAGCAACAGAACCAATACAAAGAGTAGGGAAATACCCTGAAGTCTAAAGGAGACCATTAAAGTAGGCAAGCATTGACTGGTGGTACAAAACTGAGATGTTACGTAAGTGGTCCACCACAACAGATTCTTCACTCAGTGGCTTTAGGATTTGTATAACAGATCAGTGAGAACTGGCGCCAAAGAGAAGAGGAACCTAAAAATGTACAGTATGCCAGCAGCAAAATAATACAGAGAGTGGTTGTTGTAGGTTTTTCGGGCTGTTTGGCAATGTTCTGGAGGTTTTATTTTCCTAACATTTCACCAGTGTCTGTGGCCAGCATCTTGAGAGGACAGGAGTTATAACTTTGTCTGTGTTCTGGAGTAGTGTGGGGGATATCCTGTCCTCTGAAGATGCTGGCCACAGAGACTGACGAAACGTTAGGAAGAAAAACCTAGAGAACACGGCCAAAGAGCCAAAAAAACCTACAACAACCATTGGATCCTGGCTGTGAAAGCCTTTGAGAATACAATACAGGGAGTGTTGAAAGACCCATTACTGCAGTCACACCAACAAACTGTACC